GCTTAATGTCAGCATCCCTCTAAAGTTCTCAGATAGCGACATCTATCTAGGTTTTGTAAAGTCTTACAAGGGGTACCTTATGGACTTTGGGTCTCCTCCTCATGCATGAGATGCCTTCTTAAGGAGCACAGGCCTTGTTGTCTCTTTCTACAGGTTCCAAGACAAGCAAATGGGAAATCTACTGGATCTTGCAACCATGTGGATTTCACCAACATCACCACTAGGACATATTCTTGATGAGTGGGAAAGGTTTGATCCTCACAAATTAAAACAGGAGCAGCTTATCTACTATTGCAATAGAGTTTGGGTCCAGTATGAACTGAGAGGTGGCAAGATGGGTAGGTATGAGATGGTACTTTAAATTCTATTCTCCAGTTACATTTTTACTTAAAACATACAAGGTGAAATAAGAATACCTTATGTTCAGGCTTTTGTGACTTTTAATAAAAGCAAATGCTCAGGAACTATGGTGTTTAGAGTGTCACACCTGAGAAGGAAAAAGATACTCTGGATGACCCTGTCAGTTGCCTCTCAGGCGGATGTAGATCTCTCTGATCTGTTTGATGATACTAAGAGGTCTCCTTGACCTCCTCTTTATAACCTCCAGGGCAGTAAATCAAGTCCATCCCCTCTAAGTGACTCAGGAATGCCATTAGGGCCTAGTACTCCAAGAGAACTCAGTGTTCCTTGGCCCCCTTATCATGCTTCTTAGACAATTTTAAGCCTCACAGGTAGAACCCAAAGTGGTGCTTCTTACTATAATTCACAACCTATCCTGCCCCTAAGGGAAGTCCCAGGGCTGAGAGGGAATACTTAAGTGCAAGTCCCTTTTTCAGGTGCACATGTCCAACAGTGCAAGGACTGACAAGGCCAACTATCAAAAGATCTTAGTAAGTTTGCAGATGGGTTTCAAATTTTGGCCCTTAGTTTTGATTTACCATGGTGAAATGTCTAATGCATCTCAGCCACTTGTTACAACCCAGATGAAAAACAGAAACCTACAAGAGGCTAAAAACTATGCAGATGAGCAATATGCCTTAAAAAGAAAAAGAAACCACCCTAGAGAGGCTATTCTCCCTTCAACAGAGCCAAACTGGGACTATAATACTCAGGATGAACTCGAAATGATGTCTAGTATGGTGCATCCTCTTACCATGGGGATGAAAAGGTACATTAAAAAGTCTGTTAATTATGACAAAGTGAGTGGAGTCTTACAGGGTGCAGGAAAAAATCCAGCTTTGTTTTGTAACCAATTAATAGAGGCTTTCCACAAGTATACTAATATAGATCCTTCTTCCAGGTAGGGAGAGGGGTTAATGAGATATCATTTCATCTGTTAATCAGTCCCAGATATTCAACATATACTACAAAAACTTCAGATGGTGCCACAGACACCAAAGGCCCAACTGTTGGACACTGCCTTTTCTGTATTCAACCATCAGGACCCAGAGGAGAGACAAAAGAGAAAGGCTAGGATTATGGCTGTTCCAACTGGTAATGCTCCAAGCCCATCCAGATCATCTAAGGAAAAATCCAGAGATAGTCAAGGAAAGAGTTCCTGTTTCAAGTGCAAGAAGACTGGACACAGGGCACCAAGCCTCTACCTAGGCCCTGCTCCTCATGTGAGGCAGCTAATGAGCCTGACACATGGCACTGGAAGTCTGACTCTCCCCACTCCCAGAGAGGGGCTAGGCTAGCCAAAACCTTCATTTCCTGCTCTGACAACTGAGGAGGCCCAAGGAAACTTGCAATGCTTTTGTCCACAGACATCACCTTCTCCTCCAAGGAACCCTTGGTAAACTTAGATATCATAAGTGAGTCACTTCAAGTGCTTATTGATACAGGGGCAGCTCATTCTGGTTTGACTTCTTTCTCTGGAAAACTCTTTTCTAGATCTATAGTCATAGCTGGAGTTGATGTGACCCCTAGGCAGAGATTCTTTACTCCTGCTCTGACATGTCACTTTGAAGGCCAAATGTTTAACCATGAGTTTCTAATTGTCCCGAAGTGTCCTCCCTTGCTAAGAAAAGATTAACTAAATTGGGGGGAACTCTCAAATTTCAGCTAAAGCCAAAACAGATTTTATTTTGGGGGACATCAGGTATCCTTGACCAAATTAGCCAAGTGGATCCTGCTGCATGGTGTAAGGGAATACCTGGTAGGGTAAATTCTGCTATACCAGTAGTTATAAGACTAAAAGACCCCAGCTGGTTTCCTGAATGAAGCAGTATCCCATCAAGGAAAAAGCACAAAAAAGCCTCCAGCCTCTCATAAACAAGTTGCTCAAATATAGCCTTCTGAAACCTTGCCAGTCCCCTTGTAATACTCCCATTCTCCCTGATGTAACTCCCTCAGGAGAATATTGGATGGTATAAGACCCTCACCTTATTAAGGCTATCATTCCAAACCATCATCTAGTGGGAGATCCACATACAATTCTCTCCCAAATTTCAGGAAACACTAACTGGTTTTCAGTCTTAGATTTAAAAGATCTACTTTTCTCCATCCCCCTACATCTAGACTTCAAATTTGTTTGCCTTTGAATGGAGAAATCCCATTTCAAGAGAAAAGCAGCAATATACTTAGTTCTCCCACAAGGGTTTAGACAGAGTCTTCACCTTTTTGCTTGGGAACTAGAGAAAGAGTTAAGGAACATAAAGCTTAAAGAAAGGATTATTGTACAGTAAGTAGATGATATTCTGGTTTGTAGCCCAACTCAGAAATTATCTAACACTGTAGACTCTCAACTTTCTATCTAAGAAGAGATATAGTCTCCAAAGAAAAGGCTCATATATTCCTAAAAAGCTACTCCTGTAAGCTTCTGGAAGACGTGAGATTTCTCTTCAAAATGCAAGACTCTTGTGTTGCTGTTACAGGAAGCATGAAAATCTGACGTGTTCCTCACATTTGGGCTAATAATAAAGATCAATGATTATTAACTCTTTTCTCATAGTTTCCTGACAGATTTTCCTTTCTTCAATCCACCAGTGAGCCACAGCAGCCCAACACAGTTGGACAGCATATGATCCCCAATAGGTAGAGCCTATACCCCCTTCCAGCTTGAAGATGGTATAGAAGACAGAGATCTCCACTCCCTCAGCACTCCATAAAGAATTATAGGGCTTTGTGTCTCTCAGGGGGAAATGAGATAGGCAATTAGGGTGTGGCAAAAGCTGGCTGGGGAAGTAGGTGTGACCTGATAACTACAAGATCCCAGACACATGCACAAAACAATTCCCAAAGAATTCCAGCAGGTTTTCAATACGATGGCCTACACTCGACATCAGCCTGAGGTGTAGGATCCCAGCACTGCCTCTTAGGACCTATATGTAAAGTTTTTTGTGGGGTTCCTCCAGATTTAGATAGCATAAAAGGACACATCAACACCATGAAGACTTTGCTGCCCTACCTTTCCATGATAGCCCATGCTATTTCCTAGATCCAGTGTGTACCTTTATCTTTGCTCTTGCCCTCTTCTTTTCTTTACTCGGCCCAAGCTTGGTCTGCAGAGTCATTTACTTTCTCACTCTTGACTTTTACTTTCTCAAATAAACTTTGCCACTGCTTTTTGCTCATTTCATTCAGCTCTTTGTTCAAGAGAAAAACCTCGAATCCAACTCTGGAAGGAGAGGTGAGCAACCCTGAATCCAGTAAGGTATAGCTAGCTACTTTTTAGAAGCAAGATACCTGGTAATACCCATGTAATCCCAGCTACTGATGCAGCTGAAGCAGGAGGATTACAAGTTTCAAGCTTGCCTGGAAACCTTAGCAAGACCCTGTCTCAAAATAAAAAGGGCTGAGGCTATGACTCAGAGCTCCCTGGGTTCCAAATTCTCAGTTAGAAGGAAGGGAGAAGTCTGCAATTTTGTGGTCCACAATTAAAAAGATTACACTTCCCTGGGTTGGGGCAAACAAATTACATGTAATATGCTGTGATTTTTTTTTTTTAGCAAAGTTCTAAATTTCACCATTGTTCTACATGTCCTCTTTAAAACTTCAATGACTCTACAATCACAAAGTCTGGATTTCAATGCAAACGTTCTGTTTACCCTAACATAACCTGAATGATTGAAAGCAGACTTCAGTCATTTCCAGCCAGCAATTTTTCAGGCTGAAGAACTGCTTACCTCTATTTTCATACCAACCAGCTTCAGGCTTTTAAGTCATACTGAAAACGTCCTCTAATTTCAAATTCCATTCATTTCTTTATATATACAAATTAGAAGAGGTAATCCTGCAGGACCTTCAGGCCCATGAAATACTCTGAGTAGCTTTTATCCTCCACTCAAAAAAAAAGAAGTCAAAGAACTACTCTTTAATTCAGGTGTCTCCTTAAGACAGCGCAATGGTTCTGGGTGATATAACAGTCAAGTCACTTGAGACACTAAAGAAACCAAGCTTTACCTGGCTGAATTCAAACCAGGAATTTTTCTTTCAGTTTGTGACTGCCAACACAGCCTTTTTGTGTTATCTGATTTCTGTACTGGTTGAGTGAGAAAATGGCCAAGGGCCTGAGATTAAAACAACAATAATAAATCACGGAAACAGGCCTCAAAGTCTAGAAATTAAGTTATGAGAGAACCATTAATCTATTAATAGCCATTTGCTACGTCCAATGGCAATAGAAGGGGGAAAAGCTGGCGAGCTCTGAGCACTTGACGGTGAACTTGGTCAACTCCGTGTTCTGTCACCCTCCCCTCTGCAGCGTCTGGCATCTGCAGGAACTCACAAAGCTTAACTAAATTGGCGCCTCTAATGAAACTGGGATCTGCTCCAGCGAGGCCCCTACTGAAGAAACTGGAGGACGTGGTTTAGGATGTAACGTTGCAAAGTATTCTCCAAACAGCTTTACATGTTTAAATCAAACGGAACTGCCGGTCTTTTTGAGTCTGTAGGAGGTAGTGGGAACCAGCAGGATAGGCAGTCTCTAAAAGACACAAACCGGGACAACACTAAGAACCTCAAAGGTCTAGGGCAGAAAGAAAGGGAGCGTCACTTGCCTCCCATTCCTGCAAGAAACGCTGGGCCTCCTCAGAACCAACAGTCTTATGTCTCCTAAATTCGTCCTTCACATACTGGTCTCCCAGGGCTTTAAGATGCACCGGCAGAAGCCGGTGTAGCTGCAAAATGCGCCTATACAAAGCCCGGACACGCGAAACATGTTTCACCAGCATTGAGCTGCGCGTGGATTGCCAACTGCGCCTGCGCTTCGACGCGTCTCCACCCCTTCAGAGAAGTCTCCAAGGGAGAACCGGAAAGCGCGCGACCTTCATCCGGTTTGGTCCTCCCTAGAATCATAACCCTCTGGAAACCAGAGCTTTGTTACGGATCGAAAATGGGCGGGTCTTTCTGTTAGAGGCGCGGCCTTCGTGAAGTTGTTCGAGTTCCATGCATCGATTTCTTTGGGCTGTGGTAGTGTGGGGAGAGGTGGTGAACCACAGGTCTGGCGTGTGTCCCTTGTTACCTCTCATTTTTTCCATTCATCTTTGTCCCTTTTCTTCCTACTAAAGACCTGAGAAAGAATTCGTCAAAGTCGGACTCCTCCAAAAAGCCTGACATGGTTAATCCAATTCAGTTGAGGAAACTGAAGAGTATTCCTTTCTTCTTGTGCGAGTTATCAGAGTGTGATTCCTCTCAACCAACAGCCCACGCCCTTTGCTGTGCTGCGAGTTTATACGATGAAAGCGTGGGCTTCTCCGTGGAACCAACGCTAGTGAGCCCTGAGCTGGCAGGCTTTCTAAGCCCAGGTCACGGTTGCAGTGGAAGCATTGGGACGACTTGTAAATGTACTGGTTCCAGGGCCACCCTCCTAAAGATTCTGACCAGTGAGAGATTAAAAACGAGGAATTGATAAATTCAGAAAGTACCACCTTTTGCAAAAGTTACACTGAAAGTGTAACTTCTGTCCACCTTATCCTCTTATTCATCTCACATTCAGTCCTTCAGCCATTTCTTCGGGCTCCACCCACAAAACATGCAGAAATGGACCATTTTTCGTCATATACTCTACCAAAATCAATAGAGTGAGTTCCCATATCTGTGTTCCTGCTTCTGCAAGTGATTGACTTTGGTCATGATCCACCTAAACTAAATCAGATCATGTTATTCCTCTGCTCAACAAAATCCTCTAGTGACATCAGAGTAAAAGCCAAAATCTTCCTAACCTTTAAAGTTCTAAATTTTCTCTGCTATTTCCGTACTGGACCAGTTCCACCCACACTGACCTGTGGCTCTTAGTTCATCTCTGCAAAGGTCCCACTCCCAACTGAGGGCCTTTTTCTCTATAGTAATTATGTACAATATTTTACTTAATTACTTATTTTCGGTTTCTCCTCTACTAGAATATAAATTCCAAAGACACAAGAATAGGAGATGGAGGTTCCCCACTGAAGTTATCAGTGACCCGTAATAACCATATGGTAAATGTTTGTTGAATTAATGTTGAAGTTCATTAATGGTGTCAAGTGCCTGACAGTCTTGCTGATGGGCAAAAGACAAAAGTACAAAAACTTGTGTAATTCTCTCACAAACCCCAGACTTCTGTCGGTGCAAAGACTTTTGAAATTCAAGAGACACATACCCCATAGAGATTTACTCATTTTATTATACTTTTCAGAGCCTACTACACTACCTTACAAAAAGTAAGCAATCCAATATTTATTTCTTTGAATAGTTTTTCCTTTTGCCTAACTTTAAGGAAAATACATGTTTAAAAGAATATGAAACATTTTTTTTACAAAACATTTTCTTAATGAGTTTAATTTGATATGGGGGAGGTTGTTTTGTTTTATTTTGTTTTGTTTGTACCGGGGATCGAACTTGGGACTTTGCGCTTGTGAGGCAGGCAGGGGAACCTCTGAGCTAAATCCCCAGCCCTTTATTTGATATTGTGACAAACCACAGTGATGTCAAGAATTGAAGGGCAATGTGGTTATTTTATTTCAGGAAATTTTTCTAACCATACTTCATTTGTTAATATCTCTATAAACTGAAAATTAGTTTTTTGTTCCAGTTTACTTTTCTTTCTGATTTCCTTTGGGGTTAAAGTATATATATAATAAATACTTTGTTCAGAGCTGAAGCTCTTATAAAAATGTGGAAAAAACATTCTGCCAAAAATTAATAAAAGAATTAATTCAGCCTAAAGGAAAGAGAAAAGGTCCACAAAGCACTGTGAAATCAATGCTCAGAATTGGAGATAATAGGCCAGAAATAATCCAAGACATGGTGGTATGGTTAGACCTTGAGAAGAGGAATGAAGCAATAATAATGAAAATAATGACAGAAAAACAATTTTTTTATAATAGACTGAACAGTGAAATACATTTTGAGAAAAAAGCATTCTGTTTCTCTGACCTTCCATTTTACTTTTCTCCTTGTGATCAAATAGCCATGAGCTGAAAACTAGATCTGAGTTGAATTCCTGGCCATCAGTCCAGATTTCATGCAAGCCTTTGTTTCATGTTTTCTCTGTGTGTTACTTTTCCCCCGTTACAAATTGGGTCACTTAACTACTGTGTGCTTGGATTTTCTCATTTGTCAAATGAGCCAGATAAGGTAAGCCTCAGTATCCATCACCAACATAGTTCATTGATAATCATTACTCCTCCCAGTTTCCTTCAAATATTTATGATGTTAAAGAAGACACATATTCATTCAAACTGCTTGGAAAGACTTCTATTTAAGAAAAAATTAGGAAACACCTTCAAAATTGTATGCAGAATATTGCCTAACCTGTTCAAGACACACAGAGTAACATCTATACTCCTAAGGAAAATCAATGCATCAGTTACACCATTTGAAGTGGTACTTGCATGGACCACCTCTCAGATGGAAGAGGCAGCCAGAGAGGGTTTTTGACAAGCAGAGAGATAATTTTCAGGTAAAAGAAAAAAAAAGAAAAGGTGAACACAAAAAAATGAATTGGAAGAAGAAGAAAGGGACCACATTCATGAAAGATACTGAATTATTACTTTGTGTTTATAATACCCTAGTCTTTACATTAAAATGTGGAAAATAAGTCTTACTTGCCAATAATATTAAAGCATTTTGCTCTACAACAGTAATAAGATGAGATTGGAGACAGAGAGGCTGGTGATGACAGATTTGGATTTTTTTATGTTGTTAAAGAAATAACACATTCACAGAATTGGATTTGATTACTAGGTGATTTAGTTGTGAATTTATGACTTCACATTTCAAATTCCAAATCACAGAGAATAATGAAAAGTCTGGGAAAAGATGCTGCTTTCTCATTTCTCACCTTAAGAATTAGGTATATCATTTCATTAAGGAGACAAATATAAGAAAGAAGGAATTCTTTAGACACTTTTAATTGGTGGCTGAATATTTTTAATTATTGAAATACAATGGCAAGGAAGCAGATAGATTTCAGCTTTAACCATGGAGTTAGAGGAATGGGAGAAGCAAATTGATTCCTAGAAGTCTAGCCCCCAAAAATCCATTAGATAATATTCTTTATTTAATATTTTCCTGAATACTTCATGTTTTCTGAAACATTTTCAAAAATAAAAAATGAAAGAGGACTAGATACACTTGTATCTGAAGGGAAAGATCAAACAAGGGCCGGAGATTTAGCTCAGTGGTTTTGCCGCCTGCTGCGCAAGCGCAAGGACTAGAATTCGATCCTCAGTACCAAAAAAAAAAAAAAAAAAGATCAAGCTGTAGTGTGGTTTTGAAATGTTTGTATGTGTTGATGAATGAAGATGGAAAATCAAAAGGCCAAAGAAAATGTCATCTTATATTTAATGATATATTAGTCAATCTAAGGAGAAAAAAAAAAGATCACTGCCAGAGAAGCCAAAAAACATTGGACAAGTTCTTGATTTTAAAATAATAAAATAAAAATCAATGGATTCTAAAATACAAAAGCCAGCATCTTATTTAATAGGAAAACATCTGACAAGTAGACAAGATTCTGCATAAAAAGGAAATGTAAAAATAATGCATATATTTACTTAGTTCTGTAATGGTGAACCTTTTAGAGACAAGGGCCCAAACTGCAAACTAAAACCTACTTCTTATTGCAAAATGCCAACACTGAAATTAAACCTGAATACTAAAGCTTTAGGTTAGAAAAACAATTCATACATTAACATGTTTTGTCTTAAAAGAAAAACAATGCACTTGCCATAGGTTCACTACCAATGCCTTAGTTAAAAAAAGAAAAAATAAGCCAAATTCTGATTTTTAAAAACTATCAATAGAAGTAAGGACAAGAGCAAGGTGGAAAGGAATGAAAATGAGATATTTCTGAATTTATACTTTATATATTTGTGACTTATGAAGAATGAAAATATCTCACATTGAAAAAAATTGAATTTATGAAAAGCCAACATTAACATTGAAAGCCTACCCTAAGTACTACTTCTATGTGCTTTCTTTGGATCAACGTGTAGAGAAGGAGAAATTTCTTCAGATTGTCTTTGAAACCTGCCACACAATTTTTGTGAGGTTCCAACTGTGTGTAAAAAAAATATGTTGTCTCTATTTCATGTGTACAAAGTTATTCATGCAAAATATGTTTTAGATCAAGGTTAATTATATTATCCAAATTTTCTATATTTTTTAACCTCTTTGATCTTTCATAAAATAGAGCATTGGTGTCACCCAGTGTGATTGTAGATCTCAGTTTCTCCATGTGGCTGTCTCTGGTTTTCTTTTGTGTGTTTTAAAACTATGTTGTTATACTCATACATTTTAGCCACATAAAATAATTCTTCTAGCTCCTGTCAATACCCTTCAATTGTATTTTTTCTGATGTTAATATGTTTAAATTGCTTTTGCTTTGTTATCATTTGCTTCAAGGACCTTCTTTATGTTCAACTACTATATGTCTTTTTTTTTTCATGTTTCTCTCCTCTGCACTATCTGTTGCTGGATTTTATCCAGTCTTTCTATAAGTGAGTTTAGCCTACTCATATTTATTGTGTTTAATGATCTGTTTAGATTAAGCTCTGCTGTCATATTTTGGGTCTTCTAATTATTACTATTTCCATATGATTTTATATTGTATTGCCTTTCAGTGAACTATCAATTGGGAAGTTTTAAATTCTATTTCTGTTTTTCTAACCATTTCTCTAGCATTTTTAAAATGTACCCACAATTCCTTTGTCCTGAGTTCATTATAGGATCTAAGAATAGGGTTTTGGTGCTTTGAAGTTTGTTTTGTTTTGATTCTGATCTATTTCACACTGAAAGTGCCTGACTTTCATTAAACCTGG